ATACCACAGATAAGGTCCCTTAGCAGCAATGGCCTCAGATTGCATTTATTGCTAGCAATGTGCGCAGGGCTGCTCCTCCTCCTGCTCCTCTGGCTGCCCTGGAATGGTGTGGGCAAAGCATTGGTCCTGAAACTGCCTTTGTGGGCTCTAATGCTACAGAAGAAAAACACCAGGATTGTTGCTTTCTTCTTCTGCTATCCACAAGAGAGGCAGTAAGGGTAGCGTTTGGCCAACAGAAATCTATCAAACTACAGAACAAGAAAAAGGGCTTGGACGGTCTTAGAAATCTCATCATCCACTGCCCAAATGCAGGGATCAATTCTGCCTAAGCCATTCCTGACTGATAGGTGTTAATCTGTTCTTAAGTGTGTTCCTCCAAAGATGGAGTCTATGGAGGGCTCTGAGCAATCTGTTTCAGTGCTGCACAGTCCTTACCACTACAGAGCTTTTTCTTATGTCTGGAATCTTTCTGGCTGCAGTTTAAGTTCATGTCCACCATAAAACTGGAGAACAGATTATTCTCTCCTATACAGCTCTTTCTGTAATTGAAGGCTGTTCTCGTGTCTCCCCTCAGTTCTCCCAAGGGAAGTAGCATGAGCCCTATGTCTTGGGAGACTTCAAATTAGATCAGGCTAAGCAGTTTAGAGCGTGCTGTAGGACAGGGAGCTGCCTCGGTAGGGACGCAGGGTACACGGTCTCGCTGCTTTTTTCCATAATGACCTCTTAGAGCCTGGCTCAGTGCTTTTATCTGTATTTAAAGACACTGCATACTTCTTTTGCACAAAAAGGAAATGATGGAAAAATGAAACACAGAGAAAGGAAATAAATCTTGAACGTTGCTATTAATTTTAGGGACTGTTTTTGTAAAGCTATTTACCATCTGTCCCGTATCCCCTCTACTCAATTCTCTTGCTCTGACCTCTTACTTAGAAACTTCCGAGTTTAAATCCTTCCCCCGTCCTCTCCTTCCATTTAAATTGTGATTTGGCCTTGTACCTCTGCATCCCTTAAAAAGTTTGCTTGGAGTATTTGTATTTTTGGTGATTCATTAGATCATGTCTGCATGTCTCCTTCTTAGTTACTTACCTGAGGGCTTTTATAGCTGAATAAAGCAGATGTAGCTGAAGAGAAGAGCATGCCTAGCTCTAATAAATAAAGCACATGGAGTCAATTAAAACAATGTTTAAATAATTTTCAGAAAGGAGGATGCTTGATGTTACTACATCAGAGGACCACAGTGACTTTTAAGCCAACAAACTCTGCAGGTTTACTTTCTCGTTTAATCTCCAGGTCTATAAAAAAACGCATGCTTCCATAGCAGTCATCTAACCACTCCGGCAGTTAACATGATTTTGGAATTATTTAAAGTCCAAACCATGTGAAAATAAAGCCTAACTCAATTTTGTGGGATTACTTTGTTTCCATTCAATTCCTCTTTAAAGCATTTCATATGCTCGATTTTATTATTGTTACTTCCAGGAATTTCTAAATACTTCCAAATTTGGATTGATTAAAGATCTAATGTTTCCTGGAAAAAAAAAAAAAAGAATGCAATTCCCTGCCTACTTTCCCAGGTATTTACAAACCGACATGTTTACATGCACAGCTTAATGGATGTGTACACAACACACACGCTGACTGTGTGGTTCTTTATAGTCACAACATATTAGAAGGTAGATATATCAGATTTCCCAAGTTAAACAAAGTAGAGCTTAGTGAGTACTCAAAGATGAGGGACCTCCAAAAGAAAATGGGGCATAGCAAAGAATGGTGAAGTCATGTGGATGATTAAACAAATTACATCCTTTCTTCTGATTCTCCAAAGTAATGTGCATGTCCTTAAGGAATGGAGTAGGAGAGAGTTAAGCACAGACGGTCACATCTCCACAGGATGGGGGTTGGGGGTTTGAGCCTTCGCTGAAAGCGGTGCAGTGCCATTTTCATGGGTCGTTCTGTAGCTCAGCAGTGCTCTGCCTGAGTATAATATGCAGCCGTGTGGTGGTTGGTGTGGGGTTGCTGCCCATACACTTTGAAGTGGCATTTTTCAGATAAGTAAACTCAAAACTTCATCTACAATCATTCAAGGTTCTTTGGCCAACAGTGTTGTGGCACGTATCTGTAGGTAGATGTAGGTATGTTTCCTTAAGTAACTATATATTTCCTTGCCACTTACACACAGTGTATGTTTATATGCTGAGCTTTAAATACTTGTGTTGTTTTGTATGTGTGACCCTATCTGGAATTTTCTATCCAATAATTTTTATTGCAGTGTTAATTGAAGTGAAATGCTTCATTGTGGCTAGCTTGTACCTTTGCAACAGACTTTGATGCTCACGGGGTCACTCTGTAAAGACATAGATTGGATAGTCCTAACTTGACTGAAGTTGCCTTTTGCCTCTGACCTCAGTGGACTCAGGATTTCTTACCTTGTAATTGAATTTCCTCAAATAATAGACTCGTTTTTCCTTTTCCCTAATAGGGAGAGGAGACTAGATTTACTTATGCTTCAGCCCACCAAGTTGATATGCAGCGGACATAAGATGCATTTTGACAGTGAATTTTTGGAAATATTTGCAGGCATCACCTTCCCATGAATCCCGGGCTCTCTGTCCAGCCTTTTATGCGTGGGCAGGAAGAGACTGAGGTCAAGCCTATAATTGCAGTTCTAGAATATGCTTCATTTCTGCCTTCAATCAGGCTGCCTGTCCCTCTTTTAATTATGTGATACAGTCTCTGTTTCATCGTTTTGCTATGAAGAGATTTGCCACAAAGCAACCTCTGTGGCACAGGATTTGGCAGAGGCATGCAGGATTTGGATTATATTATCTCACAGAAAAGTTCACCGGATGCTTAAATCTTTTTCTGCCTGCCTCTGTGCAGAGGTCAAACAATCAGTGCAATAGAACAGTGACTTCTCATCACTGCACTGAGCTGCTGCAGCCTCGCTCACCGGCAGGGATGAGCTGCTCCCCAGCTGCCTCTTTCCTCCTCATTGCCACCATTTGGGCTTTGTGCAATGAAAACAGGACCTGAGCTCCACTGGCAGGAACCCAAAAGCTCTTTCAGGAGTGCAGAGACATCTGCACCCTCCTCTGTCCCTGGGTCATCTTCCTGAGCACAAGGAACTGGAAAAGCTTGGCCCCAGGCTGCACTATCTGGAGCTATGTGGCCCTGTAGATAAGCCGCAAGCGTGTCCATGGGGCGCTGCGTTGGTGGAAGCAGAGAGGCAGAGCCCAGTGGGGCTGAGCTGCCGGACCAGCCCTGCCCTCCTGCGTCCGCCAGGAGCACGTGAGGGCTTCTCCCGTAGCGGTCATTCCTGGGCTCTGTCCCTTGCAGGGCTCGGCCAGACCTTTCTGCAGTAGCAGCATTGCTAAGGGTGGAAATTTGATAGGCTTCAATAAAATACCAGTGCCTAACAGAAGCTTGGGAGAAGTTTCTATGTCTGCCACTGACTGAGGACCATGGTGCATAGTTTTCCTTTCTCCCTCCTAACCTCCTGTATGACCCAGGTTTTGTGAGGGACAACTGCAGACCTGAAACTTGCTGGCTGTATCTTCAGTGAATTATACGTTAGCACCCAGCTGTAGCCACCCAGGCCACATCTTTAGCCCAAATGCCCTTACCACACTGCCCTTTTGACAACAGTTATATTTTCTTTAATAAACTGTACTATGTTATATTTTTATTTGTGGAGTGTTTGCAGTGGTTGTCATGTTACCTACAGAAACTTGGGTTCATAAGCTTCGTTGCGACTGGCCCTGGGCTTGACCAGTGTGAAATAGCAGCTGGGAAGTTGAGTTTACTGCAGACAGGATTATGGCCACTGCATGCAAAATTTCCTAGATCAGACCCTCTTTTGCTCTTTGTCTCCCTTGTCTCAAGAAAGAATCCTTTCTGAGCTTTGCAGGCAAAGAAAAACAACCAAGACAAAGATGTAACAGATTGCCAGAGACAAGTATTACTGCCTCTCTGAATATTTATTAAATTAAAAACAAAGATAAGAGAGAATGGAGCAGCTTCAACACACTCATTAGAAGGGCATTTACAAGCTCTGCCTAAAATAACACTTTTGCAGTTTCTCCATTTTAGTGGGTTTTCCCCCAGCCTGCTCCCACCAAGCTCAGTGGGATGGCGGCCCTAGGCCTCGTTATGGAAAAGCAGGGTGGGCACTGTCTCTTCTGCTTGTGTTTCATAGCTGTGGGCACCCAGGTGATTTCTTTGAAGACAGCTGGAACATGTGTGTACAAATGACAAATTAACACACGGATACAGAAACGGGTGTGCTGCTTAAATGCTGTGGTGGGCAGGTCTTCACCAGAGACTTGGATTTCCTATTTAAGCATGGCCTTTCTGTGGAACCCTGTGCAAATCACGTAATCTCTCAGTTCCTCATTTTAAAATGGAATTGACAGTGCTCTGATGCTGTGATTGCGTGCCACAGTAAGTGCCTATGGCCAGTGCTATGGCAGGATGCTTTGCTGCATAGGACACTGTTCCCACTCTCTTCTACACCAGGCATCCATGCTGCAAGCCCACTCCAGCTTTTTCTAGACCTGCCTCTGATTTATTTTGCCACTATGCAATCTCAGATAGGGTTGCATTTTGCCACCATGCAATCCTCTGTAGGGTTGCATCCAGCATGATAGAGGAAGGATCCCCATCCTGCATGGGCTTTGCAGCTAAAACCCTGTTCTATACCTGTGATAGGGCTTCATTCATGCAGCTTGATGGGCTGACCTCGGAGGTGGAGTCAGCTGCCACCTGATGAAGACACAGATAGTCAAAATTTTCAAGAGTAAAACCTGTCCTCACCCTCATTCCCAGGAAACGCTGCCTGTGGGGTAGTTAAAGTGTTCATCTACCACATAAGGATGGGTGGTGATGTTTCCTTAAGCAATTGCATCTCCAGGCTCAGTGGAGAATATGTGATCATTTTTTCCTCTCTTTCTTCTTTATGTACATGAATTTGTTTTCAAAAACATGGTTTTTTTCTTCCCTAGGAGATGACCCATTCCTGGCCTCCTCCTCTTACTGCTATTCACACTCCTGGCAAGGCTGAGCAGACCAAGTTCTCTATCCCAAGCAAGGTACGAGTAGGCTAATACCAGTGACCTGATTAACATTCTGTTCTGTTGAGTGTTCTTCGCTGGAGAATTTATTTTTGTAATTGGTTCCATTTTCAAAAATTTCTGAGACTATTTTTAGTTGGAAATTCCCAGTCAGACTGTTGTTACTTGTTGGACTGCTTTGTTAAAGCTGCAGAAGTTACAGCAGAGGCAAAGTGCACTTTATCTCTGTTGTTGTAAGAGTCTTTCTACATCAAGTATAATATATTGTGTTGTTTTTCTTCCAGTATTATTCATACAGCACAATGGCTGAAATGGTCATTTGTTCCTACTTAGTGATTGATTGCATGATGAGGTCTAGGCTGCATGGTCAAATTACGGTGACTTAAAATGTTCCTGCATGTGAAGAGTGCTATGGCATCTGTCTGTCTGTGCACTCCAAGGGCACATGAAGTTGCGCAATGCGATCCTCTCTATTGGCCTTGCTAAAAGCACATGCTCGGCACTTGCCACATCAAAAGCATGTGCCTGGAGATTACCCGGAGTTCACCTAACATACAGTGAATCATTAAGTTGTGTGATTTGAACATGCCTTTAGCCCAAATTCTGTTGTTTGCGTTCTAGCTATGATTCTGGTAGCACTGTTAGAGATCGAGCTGGTACCCAGGGCAATTATTGCCAGAGGTATCTTTTGCTGGAACCTAAACAACTGTGAGCTGATGATGTTTGGGGAAGAGGAGAACTTCCCCAGGGTGGGAAATCTACACCAGCCTTACATGGAGCTACATAAAAGTTCCTTTCTAAAGGCAGGACCCTGGAAAATAGCTTATAAAACTGGTACTGCTTGACATTATGGTTCAAGCAATCATGTCCTGGTTTAGAAGCTGGAATGTGATTTTCCTCTTACTGATTTTGTCTGCTTGGCAGATATTCCCCTGTCTCAAATGCAGCCGCCATACTTAATTGGAAATCATATGAAATTAGCAGTATCTGTGGCTCCTTAAAAAAACAAAGCCAGTGCCCAGAATGCCTTATTTTAATGGAATGTGACTGTTACTGCTCTAGCACTGCTGCTGTCACTGCAGTTCGCTGCAGCATTGAGCATCAGACACCATCATCACACAAGAGTACAGTCCTCACTGCAAACTGGGTTAAAGTCAGTTGAACCCATTTAGGTGAAAGTGGAGCCTGACCTCTGTGAATACAGGGAGAGAAGTGGGGTTTGCCCACTGGAAGCTGTGTTTTTTTTAATTTATACCATCTCTTAATTTAGTGCTCTGGTTTTGATGAGCCCTACAGAAACTGGTCTAAGTCCTGCAGACTGCTGCTATCTCCACTGGCAGCAGTATAAACATTGGTTCAGAAAGGCTAAAATTTTGGTTTGCTTTTCTGTTTCTATTAAGTTTGCTTTGAACTTTTAAGATCCACATCAAAGTTAATTTCTGGGCACGTTAAATGTTGATCCTAAAATTCTTGACCATATCACTTCAATACAAAATATAAATTAGATTTTTTTTTTGAGCTAGCATTTCAGGAAATAGGCAAGCACATAACTGTTTCCAAGTTTGCTGGTTTTGCTTTAAAAAATACAACAGAAATGTCTCGTCAGAACATCGCATTAAATCAATTATATCTAGCCAAATTATAGATCTTAGACATAATGTGGCTAGAATCTGCAGCCATATGAGACAGGCACTATTACAAGTTCTCAATTTAACTATTAAAAAAAAAGGTATCCTCATAAGAAACATATATTAAAAAGTGTGATAAAAAAGGCGGAACTTATCAGAACAATTTATCCCTTTGACATTCAAATTTAAAGTGCCATGTTTACTCTTAGGGCATGATTTACTTCACAAGAGACTGACTGACAGCACAGTATAATATTAGGAACTAATAATGCCCTAAGAGGAAGTGCAGCGAGGGCTTTAATGACTTTAACATCCTACAGAACTAACACTTCCAGCAAAGTAGTGCCTGGCTGTAAGATGAGGTTGTAAATAACACCTTAATTTCAAATGATCAAACTCTTCTTGGAAGGAAAGCTGATTACAGTCACTGTGGACTATAAAGCCTAGAGAAAAACTAAGCAAGAAAACACTGACGTTAAGGAAGCAGCTTAGTTATTGTGAGCCAGCAAGAATCCCGGCATTAGCATGCTCAAGTGTTACAAGCCAGATTTCTTTGCTGGTTTAAAGTTGCTGTACTTCCATTGATTTCATTGGATTTGACCACTTTCCATCAGGCAAAGATCTGCTTCCTGCATCTTTATCAAATCCTGTGTGTCACAGTCCAAATAAAAACAGTGACTATCAATAAAAGGTTACTGTATTTCCAAGCAGTGAGACAAAAGAAAAGAAAGGTAGCAGTGCTGAATTTAATGTGCAGTTGCATTCATGCTATGGTCGAAATTCTGCATCATAGATGGCTCATGCACACACCCATGGCCAAGCCTGGAAAAGGCTGGGACCACTGCGGGTATAAATCTGAGCAGTGTCTCCATAAAGCAGGTGTGTAGATTTACAGCAGTGTGGTGGGTTCACCCTAGCTGGACACCAGGTACCACCAAGCCGCTCTGTCACTCCCCTCCTCAGCTGCACAGGAGAAAGAAAAATATATTGAAAGGCTCGTGGGTCAACATAAGGGCAGGGAGAGATCATTCACCAATTACCATCACAGGCAAAACAGACCCAACTTGGTGAAATTAGTTTAATTCACTACCAGTCAAATCAGAGTAGGAGAGGATAAAAAAGCCCTGCATCTTAAAACACCTTCCTCACCCTTTCCTTCTTCCCGGGCTCAACTTTTACTCCTGATTTTCTTTACCTCCTCCCCTCTGAGCAGTGCAGGGGGACAGGGAATGGGGGTTGGGGTCCGTTCATCACACGCTGTCTCTGCTGCTCCCTCCTCCTCAGCAGGAGGACTCCTCACGCTCTGCCCCTGCTCACAGCTGACAGTCCTCCACAAACTTCTCCATGAGCCCCTTCCATGGGCTGCAGTTCTTCACGAACAGCTCCAGTGTGGGTCGCCCCCATGGGGTGCAGTCCCTCGGGAGTGGACTGCTCCAGTGTGGGTCCCCATGGGGACACCAGCCCTGCCAGCAAACCTGCTTCAGCCTGGGCTCCCCTCCCCATGGGGCCACAGGTCCTGCCAGGAGCCTGCTCCAGCGTCGGCTTCCCACAGGGTCACAGCCTCCTTCAGGTGCACTCCTCTGCTCCGGTGTGGGGTCCTCCCTGGGCTGCAGGTGGAGATCTGCTCCACCATGGACCTCAATGGGCTGCAGGGGGACAGCCTGCCCCACCATGGTCTTCATCACAGGCTGCAGGGGAATGTCTGGGGTGAATGTCTGCTACGGTGCCTGGAGCACCTCCTCCCCCTGCTTCTGCACCGACCTGGGTGTCTGCAGGGCTGCTCCTCTCACATCCTCTCACTTCTGTCTCTCTGGCTACTGTTCCCCAGCAGGTTTTTTCTTCTTTATTAAATATGTTATCTCAGAGGCACTACCACCATCGCTGATGGGCTCGGCCTTGGCCAGTGGCGGGGCCGCCTTGGAGCTGGCTGATATTGGCTCTGTCAGACATGAGGGAAGCTTCTGGCAGCTTCTCACAGAAGCCACCCCTGCAGCCCCCCACTACCAAAACCTTGCCACATGAACCCAATACAAGCAGCTGAGGGTGAGCTCTTGTCTGAACTGCAAAAGCATCCCTCAGTGGTGCTCTGTCTCTACAGTTAATGTTTTTTTTAAACTAATGTCACTGGTGCTGCCTTAACAATCCCATGATCCCTTCCCCCACCATCTCCTTCCCTGTTGGTGTAATGCCAGTGCCCTTAATCTAGCCAGCTAAGATGTATCTTACCTTTTTCCTCTTATTTAACTAATGCTGACATTTTGTGTGTTCTTCTTTGTAGGACTCCCAACATCTGACCTCAGGATACAATGTACAAAGTAGGTCTTTATCATCCTAGTCCTAACAGTCAGGGCTTGGTATTTTTTTTTCCTGCTTAACATCATTAAAACAAAAGCTAAAAGATTAATTTCTATGGTGCTAAAGCAGATCAGTTCCATTTTTTATTACATGTTATGCATTGTGGCATGTTGTGAAACCAAGTGTAATTAGATGGGCTGACAGCTTTGGGTGCATTTTAATTCTGCAGTAATCTTTTGACATTTGAAAATGTGTTTTCTTTGTTTGCAGAGTGGAGTGATCCAGCAGGGAAAGTTGCAACTAAGTCAGTGCCACAAAAGTCGTAAGTATTATTATTTCCAGCTTTAAATCTCATTTTAAATTTATCATAAAGAATGAGCTTATTTCTCCAAAGGTAACTAAAATCTAGCTCTGCTCATAATCTTGTCCTGGTGTTCAGGTGTTCTCAGTAGTCCTTAAAAATTAGCCATAAACCAGTTTTATGTTTTCAGTGCTTATTACTCTTTCTTCTTTTTAAGCATTAGCTAACAGAGTTATGTGTGAAAGATGAGTTTATTAAGCAGAAATAATGCTGATTTTAGTTGTACAGCTTGCCAAAATTAAATCACTTTTATGCTTCTCTCATCAGATATTAAGCCTCTTACAATAGAAAATGCAACCCAATGAACAGATGATGCAGGAATTTTAACATTCATACAGTGAGAGAGAGTAAAACACATCATACGGAATGATTCTACTAGCTGGTGTTGAAAAGCTGGTCTTGAGTTTCATATACTTCGAAATAGCTGAAAATCACAGATGATCTGTAAATATGACAGCTGAAAATTGTGGAAGAGCTAATTCTCCGTTGTGTTAAAACATTTTTCTTCGGTGCTTCTCTGGTGTAAGGCTGCAGTAATGTAGCAGTGAGTTGAGACGGAACTGCTTTTTTACTTTTACCCCAGGATCTCAAAGTCATTTACAAACAGGAATTAAATAATAACTTTGAAAAGTAGGTTGTTGTTTTCATACATATGAAAATGTGCGTGTCTGATTTCAGTTCAGAGCTGCTAATTTTTTTACTGTTCAAGTGTTTTAAACTACTGAATGCAGAACTGCACTAGCTTAGCTGACAGTTGTATAAACACAATATGTTCATTTAGAATTACTTCAGAATTATTCTGGTGGTTCCCCTTAATCTGCTAAGGACGAAATTTTAAGTAAATCCCTACAGGGGAAGAAAAATCAATGCAGAGATACCTACATAGATTTTTTAAATTAATTTAAATCTATTGATTCTTAGTGCAAGTTTATGTACAGGTAAGGACATCCTGGAGCTCAGGGATTTGTCTGTGACCATGTAGGAGATGTGGGACTAGAACAGATGTGGGTGCCGAATCCCTTGATGTACTCACCAGGCTCTGGAGGTCCAGTTCTTTACTCATAAAGTCAAGTCACAGAAGTACTCATTCAAATAAAGTTTGTTGAGCAAAGCTTTACAAAATTATGGTTAAACGACTAATTAAATTTAAAAATGAAATGGTTTTTTTCTTCAGATTGAATGAGAATTGGATAGGAATGCTAATAAATAGATTAATTTGCATGAATGACATTTATTTTGTGAAACTTAGCAACAAGTTTTTGCCCATTGCTATTTGATTACCAGTGATGGCTTGGGTTTTTTAAAAAATCTAGCCAACTATACCCACTGTTGTTGGTAACAGAATGGGTACATTCATGTTTCAGGACATCTAAGTGATCCAAACCTAACATTAAGCACACTCCGTAGTAAAAAAAAAAAGTAAAAAAATATTATTGCATCTTAAAATGATTTTTCTCCTAAAGCAAGTGTATTTGGATTCCACTGTGAAAAATATTTTCGTGAGTATACCATAAAATACAATATTTCAATAGTTTGTAACCAACAGTAATAGACTTGTCAATCATAGTTTATAGTTATAAGCTGAATTTCAAAAGAACAGTGCTTCAGAGCTCAGTGGTATATAGTGCATTTAATGGGACCAAAGCTCTCTATAGGAAGCCTGATATAAAAACTGAAGACACTGAGTACATTTTATGAACCAGTTGCTCTCTGTTCTGCTGCTTGATCTAAAGTTCCAGTACTATCAATCAGATTTCTGCTGCAATGAACTGCCTTCTTATGGTAGGTGATAGATTTTACACATGAGAGAACAGAGCTGCAATAAAGCTACTTTTATTTTTAGCTTCCAAATGAACATCAGCTAACCCATTACTATCACTTTTTCTCTTTACTGCAGAAAAATTGTTAAGGCAGCTTCTAAGAATTTCCATAGGGCTTTGGGAGGTTAGAACGCAGTCCACTGTGAGACTTGGTATTACGAGGCCAATTTGTTTCTTTAGATCTGCATGTGCAGTTACCACCACTTTCACTCGGAATTACAGTACTTGAGGACATAATGAAATTAAAGCAGAGTGGGGCAGAAAGACGTAATGGTATCAAGTAGAGCTGGATAGTGCACTCCAAAGAAACCCTGATAGGTTGGCAGCTCCTGCAGTCATTGTGTATTTTAATAATATACTATTTATCAGATTGCAGTTCTATTAAGATTTTATTAACATTTAATCTTTCTAACATTGGCCAGTTTCAGGGATATTGGAGTGTATGAGTGAAATTACAGTCCAGCTTTCCCCAGCAACATTTGTTGCTATGCTGTCAACCACACAGCATGTTCTTGCTGACCTCAAAACTGTATCCCCCACCAACTCCTTACATATTTTGTCAATGGGACTTGTTATCTGTATTTCAGTTTGATCAAATCTGACTGAATTGAGTTTGTTCATCTGTATGCTTTTAACCTGGACAAGTTTCTACATAGTCCCCAACTTTTTTAAGTTTACGTGCAATTCAAGTGAAACCTAAGTTATATTGTCCATTTACATTAGTCCTAGAGACAGTCTTATAGATTCCATTGGCTTTGTTAGAAATCCATAGGAATTGGTAGTAATGTGCTTATATTCACCATATCACTGAATTATATACCACGAGTAGTTGAGTGATGTGTGCAGAACAAAGATATTTTTACTTACATGATGCGATATTCTGCTCCCGCCGCCAAGCTGGCTGTATGTCATTACAGAATTCAGGTGTAGAAACATTGGCATCATGGAAGATCAGACCAAAGGGATGTATGGGCTTTACAAGATAACCATTCAAGTGTGTGCTTCTAGGGGGAAGAATGGAGGCAACATACTGCAAGATAGATGAATTGACCAATGTCTTGCTTTTATAGGGGGATGCAAAATGAATGAATACTTGCCTAAGTAAAGGTTTATGAAATACAAATTTCATCCTTTTTATACTATTTCAATGTACTTTATTACATCCACATGCTGGAGGAACACAATGCCCAGTGCTTTGCAGAAGGTAAAATAGAAGGTAGAGTAGTCGGGATTCTGTCTAAATTCTGCACATATGTTGTACATGAGTATGGGTACATGTAACTAACCTCAGATCCTAATTTCTACTCAAAAATCTTGAAAATGAAATTCTGAACACTGATGTGCATGCTCATATGTATACCGTGGTGAAGTTTTATAGCTGAAATCAGGCTATGTAAAACTACGGCACTTGGCTTCCTTTCTCTTTAATTTCAGATTCACTGTAAATCTCCATTGGGTATTGTGCAGTCAGTTTGCAGCCAGTCTACTCTGATTAGTTTATTATGAAGCATAGTAAGCAGGAACAGATAAGGTGCAAGCAATTGCACTGAGAAGGATTTTCTGTCAACTTTCATGAATTTGAGAGTACAAACTCAGCCCGCGACTTAGGTTTCTGTTATATAATTACCGTTGCAAGAATGTCATCCTCAAACATCCAGTCCTTTTGTTCTGATTTGGTTGTTAGCATTTGGCCTCTGTCCAGTTGGAAACTACCCAGAACCTTTTTAATCAAGCACATCCTGTGTTTTGAAATCATACTGCAGAGTAGTCTTGGGTAGTTTCCATAAAAGCCTAGCTAAAAAGAAGAATGTAATCATAACAGTATTCTTCCCCTGTCATAAAATTACTTCCTATACTTACTGTATTAAGACAGTATTAAAAGGCCCTTCTCATGGTCTCAGTGAACTACCGGAAACCATTTAAAAACTTCGAGCAGCGAATTTTTATGGATCAGTCAAAACCAACTTATTTTATCTTTATAGAGTTTTTGTTATCCATCATAGTTAATGGTACACAACCTGCGTGGGGGCTAAAGAACAGCTAAATACAGTGGACTCAAAACCAAAACAAGCAGCTGAAACTCTTTACGTGATATTTCAGCACGGATTTTTCAAAGGGGACTCACCACTGGTTTCAACTGGGCCAGGATTTCACTTCCCAGTGCTAAAAAAAATTCAGTAAATAACAGTGCTTTTCTAATCCGAAAGATTATCATAATGCTTGATGGAAGCCTGTTTGAAAATGGAAATGTGCTTCTTGACATCTAACTACTTTTCATAAGTATCTAATGGCTTTTTGGAAGTTCTCCACTGTGTCAGGGACAGCCACCTGGGAGCATGGAAAACAAAATTTGGCAGCATGTTCAAGCTATGAATTAAAGGTAATTCACAGTTTGAAGTGAACCAGCATGATGTCCTTATGAAGAGTAATCAGACATCAAGAGGATTTTACACCAAGGATTGTATATTGGATAATGCGACAACAAGTAATGTTGTTATTCAGAACATTCAAATCAAGAAGCACTGATGAATCCTTAACCTTGAAAGGAATCAGTTTTAAAAAAATGGAATTCATTCAATGTTGATACATCATTTCCAGTTCAATCGCATGAACCGAAAATGTAAAATTCATCTCCAGCTGGAATAGGGAGAATGTTTCTGTTTGTGTATCCAACTCTATATCTGAGTTCCAGTCACAATCCACCCTAGGTCTAATACACTGAAGAAGCTGAAAATTTAGTATTTCTAATTACAGTTTTTAATCGATCATATTAAAGCACAAGACCGTCAATTGATCCGCAGTGTTGATAGCCTGTTTTCTTTTACAGCATACGTTCATTTTCACTTAGCGAGTGTGGCAAGCTTTAATCATTAGACTAAGTACTGCCTGTTTGTTAGAAGTAGAAAGTTCCAAAGATATTCCCTCTGGGTAAACTGGGAAAGTCATGAATACAAGAGACTTACACTGCCATGTACTAATTATGATAAGTGAAACAACAGTGGCATATAATTGGAACTCCATTAATCTTTAGAGAGCTCCAGTGCACCATATTAAAGGGGCAAATAGCAAATGAATGTGGAAGGGTCTGTTTTGATAAGATGTCATTCGTCTTACATATATACTGTTTCATTTTGTTAGTTT